CACACACACACACACACCACCACCACCACCACCACCACCACCACCACCACGTGCGCACACACACACAACCTAGGGAAAGTTATCAACTTAGAGGAGTGTGCTTACTCTGTTCCTCTCATTGGATCCAAAAGCTGCAGTCCCTAACTGCCCCGTATCATGAAAATCTCTTGTGAATCAGTAGTTCTGATCCAGAGAGGATGGGTGGATGGGGGTCAGGGGAGCTGGGTTTGAATCTACTGGTCTCAGAGCAAGACTCAAAAACCTAATGACCAATCGCATCCTCAGTTTCCATATTTTGTAGGTTCTATACCAATATTTCAGGCGTTGGTCTCAGACTGAATTTGTGGGTTCTTCTGATGAATAGACAAATTTGTTTGTTCTCAAGAAATCATTGGGACACGAAGCTCGAGCAAAGTTTCACCAAACATATTAGATTGCTGTGTAAAGTAAGGACCCACAAATGAAAACCTCAGAACTCAATCCCAATAAAATAATTTGCACAATACACTTTGCCAGGGCGTAGCATTCAGCTGCTTTTCTCTCTGCCTGGTGCATGTCCAACTCTGTAACTCAGCTGAATGCTCCCTGTCTTTATTCTTCCTCTTCGGGCCACTCTACCTTGCTTTAGACGCAAGACATGATAAGGACAGAAATGAGGAAATAAAGGAAGCAGGACAAATAGAGAGAGGGAGAGAGAGAGAGAGAGAGAGAGAGAGAGAGAGAGAGAATGAAGAAGTTTTTATTTTAACATAAAATAATAAATGTGTTTATGAGAGAGAGAGAGAGAGAGAGAGAGAGAGAGAGAGAGAGAGAGAGAGAGAATGAAGAAGGGGAAGAAAGGGAAGAAGGGCAGTCCAGAAGGGAGAGGGGGAGAAACGAATTCAGTCGCAGTTTCACCGTCACTCAATCAACTTCCCTACATTCTTAATACGTTTTACACATTCCTCGCCAACAATAGAATTTATAATTACGTGATTACATTGCCTTAGAAACATTCCAAATTGATGAGCCCACAAATATCTGGACTAGAAATCCAGAGAAGCCAAACTTGCACCAGTGAAAAGCTCTACCCATCAGCCTGCAGAAAGTTGGCTGTCTTCACTCTCTCTAAAAGATTGGGGAAATATTCCAAAAGCACAACTTGGAGACGGAAGAGGTCTCTTGTTACGCACAGAATATCTTCCCCCATCCTTTACCTCTGAGCAAGAGATTAATTTTAAATTAAAGTGAAATCCCTTGCAATTCCAACAAAGGGCTTTAGCCACAAGATCTGTGCACAAGAAAAAAGATTGCGCTCCTTAAACCTTGACTTTAAACACATATATTCACAAAATAATTTTATACGCTTAGGACATTTTTACATTTTTCACAAGGACCTCCTTATGTCTCAAGAGGGAAAAAAAGATCTGCCATTCAATGCTTAGCTCAACTAAAACCTATTTACTCCTTTTAATAGCCACGTCTGCTGCTGATTTTTTTGTATCTGTACAAATTTTTTTTCTGTGCTAGGCACAAAGCCGGGCATTTTTCAAAAGAAAGGATTAGAACATTTGCAAGCACCAGACAAAGAGAGAATCCTGTGCAAAAGGACACCGTAGTTTATCCAATTTTCGACTTAGTGCCATTCAACTGGTCATTTATGCAATGTCATCTGACCAAACAACATGTTTTACTTATTAGGAGGAAAAGTTTGTTAAGTGAAGAGAGCCAGATTTGTTTCTTCTAAGGAAATAAACATCTTAACGGTGCTTCAGAGAGTGGGAGGGAAATTGGTCCACTTCCTTGGAGAGCACTGATGCCTTTTGCCTTCAACATTTCAGATGTCTTAAGATCTTTATTTCAGCCTATATCTTTCTTACGTATCTATTCTTTCTTTTCTTGTTGTTTTATTGAGATGACATTACTCATGCTGAGGAGGGAAACACTCTAAGATATTCCATGAAAGAATACATTGTGCAATATATATGTATGTACGGTTATATAGACATCTATGTGTGTATGTGTGGCATGTATACATAATATGTCTGAATTCTAAGACAGCTTCATGAATCTAGCAAGTTATTTTCTTCCACTCTCCTAGACCTACTTGGCAGAATGAAAAAGAAAGAGCCATAGCTACATTTAAAACAAGAAAGAGGAGTGAGTGTGTGTGTGTGTGTGTGTGTGTGTGTGTGTGTGTGTGTCTGGGTTTGGGTAAAACCTGTTTCTCTCTCTCCTTTTATTTCTTCCTTTTTAAAACATTCATCAGCATATGCCTCATTTCAAATGCAACAAATGTAAATATACTTTTCCCTGCACAGAATTTTAAGTGAAAGTCCAATGGTTTGGAGGGCGGTCTAAGTCTGCCTAACAGATGCAAACGGTCTTGTGGCTTCAGTTCCATCTTTGAGTCCCCTAAAAAGATTTGCTATGGCCAACAAAGGAAACTGTCACACCTTTTCCCATCACCGCTTTAATTTATGCTCAGTCTCCAAGTTTTTTTTTTCATATTGATTTGATAATCACTTTAAGGCAGAACATTTAAAATAAGAAAGAGCTGGTGAGTAGGTTGAAAGGGGGGTCTTACAGGCCTGCCTCAATATGGTGAAAATGGGGTGGAAAAGGGAGCCAGGGCTGTAAAGGTTGTTTTGTAAAGTGGGTTTTTATTATGCACCGACTCTCTCCGCATTTACTTAACTCTTCACGGGCTGTTGGGTAGGTTAACACCCTTCAAGGCCTCTTTCATGTCCAATACCTCGTTTGTTTGTAAAGGAAAATGAGCTTTTAACACATTTTGGTTCAGAAGGGAAAAAGAGAGACACAGAGAGAAATTTTTATTTTTCCTAAGAAAACATCAGCAAATCTTTTCCACTTTTTCTAGCTCAAATGATCACTCAGTCCATTAGGAACTTGAAGAGCCACAATGAGTGAACCTAAAGGTGCTCCCTCCAGGAGGCCCATTTTAGATTATATACTGTTGCTGTTTCAAGGGTAGAACAGAATCCTTATTAAATATTGGCCCTTCTATGTGAAATATTTCCTCTGAGTCTCCAAGAAACCCACAACCCCAGATTTGGCACTCAAGTTGTAATTTTCTCCACCCAAAACAGTGTTGATCATCTACTTTGTGTATATATGCTGTGTACCTTCATGGGGACTCAAAGAACTTCTCAATCTCTTATGCTTAAATGAAAGGCTCTCAAGCACTCTGAAGTGTAATGTTGTATAGTGATGTAAAATACACACCTTAAGGTCTAAACAACTTTTTGATGGTAGTTTTTCTTGAAATATTTCTCTTAAAATTGTGTTTTCTGTTAAGTTTGCACCAGCTCAACGGTGGCTTTTAACTTTCTCCTGAAATGAGGTTCGAGCACAGGCTAGTCTGAAATACTTTACCAACATGTCGTGCCTAGTGTATTTGAATGATATTATTATTTTTTTCTTTTTCTGTAGGGTTCTGTGGAAGCACAGTGTGGGATTGTCCTCAACGGCCAAGGGGGAGTAATAAGAAGAGGTAAGAATATCTTGACCCCAAACATTAGTATCCAGTCTCTTTCTTTGTTTTAAAAATATAGGGATACTTGTAAATATCATATTCCATATGTGTGCTGATTAAGAAAACAATTGTTACCTAGTTATTCCAGGACCACACAAGCATATGTACATTTAAAAGCCTCCTTTCTCCCATTGATGCTTCAGTGCAAGGTGAGCCCCAAAGACTTATGCTATGAGTTATCTGGTTTTCTTCAAGAAGACCAACAGAATCTAAGTTAGGAAAAAAACTATTGAGCAATTAAGAAAACTTTTCACACCCCTTCTCTTCACCAATACCACGTCCTGGAGCAGAATTTCTGATTTCTTTTAGACCTAATGTGCCAGCCACAGCCTGTGTGTTTGAGGTGATGGTGTTAGCTAGGGGGCTTGAAGGATTCTGTGAAAGGCTGCATCCTTGAAGCTTTCTGGGAAGCTAATGAGTCACAAAAATTGTAGCTGCCTTATTTTTTGAAGTGTCCAGAACATTTCTTTCTTTAAGGAAGGGTGGGAGGAGGAGGTAGTGTTAAGTGTACTGGATAAGGCTTTCTTGTTCCCATCTGTTGAGGAAAACATCTGAATCCAGAGTTACCCATGGAATAAGAAGGTTGATGGGGGTAGGGGGAGTCGAGGGGAGAGAGCTGTTGCTTTCAGCTGAGGCACTGAAGGGGGCTACATCTCAGATGTTCCATTTTGACAAAAGGTTTTGAACTATGACATTCACAGGGCCTCAAGGCAGTGCAGATTTTGCTGGCTTCCCTGCTTAACTGTACTCAGAGCCTCTGAAGTTTATTTTCCTAGCATGCCTAGTAACCCGAGGAGCATACAAGGCAAGAGGGACCAGCTGTTATCCCAACTTCATACGAATTAATAAGACGTGGCCTATTCACCAAGACTAATTCCTGCTCCAGGGCCACAGTTGTCTTTAGTAGCCAAACACGCCAAACTTCTGACGATACTAAATAAATGTCTCTCAGTCCATCTCTTTTTCTTTTATGTTACTTGAATGGCTTGCTTTTTTAGAGGGAGAAATTTACTCATAAGAAGCAGTGAATTCTTTTGTGCTCAAACCACAAATTTCATGACCCAGTACTCAATGTGAACACAAATTCAAGAGGAAAGAAAGCAAAGGTGCTTTCTTTTGGAACTTGGCTGTTACAGTGTGGACTTGGAATTTATAATGATCTTTTTAAAAAAATTGCTATAATCTTTTGTTTCACTTTTGAGACTTCAAAATTTATTTTCTAATGTACGGATATTGCTTGTCATAGCTATTTAAAATGAGCACTATTGTGCTTGCCAGTCAGGCCTGTACTCAGCCGTATTGAAATAACATGAAACAGAGCAATGTTCGATGATTATTAATTTTAACTATACATACTGTTGGACAGGTAAAATATACACCGTGAAAAGAGGGCCCTGTGAGACTTGCTGATTGGGGTCTGTTGGGAAGGGAAAATCTGAAGTTGAGGCCAAGCGCTCAGGGCGCACCGACATCGGTGGTGCTGAAGGACAGCTCCACTAATTAGGGTCGGAAGCTGGCTGTTCTGAGAGCCGAGCTTGCGCTGCTGCGGCTTTAACATTCAGTTTCGTACTTGCTAGAGTACCCTTTCCAATGCCTGAAAATCAAATTCGATTTTGCGATAACTGACAGGGTGGAAATTCCAGGCTTGGGCTGGAATCGTAGAGGGCAGACCAGAAGAATCAGTGAAAATTTCAGGTAGACTTTTAGGTAACACTCCCCTCTCCTTTGGCGAGGAATGCGTCATCTTTCAGCAGTCTAAAAGATACAAGAGCCAGCCGGCTCACTTTATCACAGTACAGAAGAGGATTTCTTGGCGTGGTGTTTTTTCTTCCTTTACAATTCTGTACCTATGTGTTTCTCCCTTAAAAATCTATTTCTTAACCTGCTATTTTAACCAAACATTGTGTAGGAGAAAAGTGAAAATTCAAAGGGAAAGAACATGGAACTTGGGCTTTAGATATTAACAAAATCCATAACCCCTACTTCTGAGTAATTCAGATCGGAGCAGTTGAGTTTACTGTTCAACTTCCACGTGTCTTAAAGAAAAAAGACAATCTCAGCCGCGGAGAGATGGATGTGTCTGCTTATTCTGAAACTATCAACGTTCACAATTTATAAGAGAATAGCAAGGAATTACATATTTAGTCACTCACGGGTTGGCCCTTGTATTAAAATGCTTAGGAAACCCCTTCCCCCATGATGGCATGCTTGTGCCTAGGGCTCCTACCATCAATACCTGGAGTCACTTTTGTTCATCATTTAATTGTAATTAATTCAAATACTCTCTCCTATCCCTCCTGTGATGACAATGTGCTTCTTTTCCAATCCATGCTCTGGAGGTTGATTTCTTTTAAAGCACAATTCTCTTTGTTTTTGTTGGTGCCTTTCTCTTTTTCCTATGTATCTAGGCATATTTGTATTTCCACTAATACCCAGAAAACACCTGCCCACTTCCTTCCTTCCACTTTTTTTTTTTTTAAAGAAAAGATATATTCCCTATGTATCCTACAAGAGTGCATTAGGTAAGAATAAGTTGAACTGGGTAGTGGGATTGGGGGTGCAGAGTTTTTCTTCAAATTTGGGCACTTGTGAAGAACAAAATGTCATTTCTCAGACCCACATTGTTAAATGTCCATTGCATTGGTTCTTTGCTTGTAAACGAAGGCCTGATAGCCAAAAGATACAAGGACCGACCAGGAGGCAGCAGTGAAGTAATTACCACCTAGATAAAATATTTGCGGCCGCCTCTGAGCCGCAGCTCCATGCGTGCTCACTCACTGTTAAGGGTGTGCACGATTTTGCCGGCAGCTCTGCCGCTCCGACCATCAGAACCAATAATCTTTACTTTACCCTGCACTCGAGTATCGATAGCTTCTTTCGCCTCCGGCACTGGCTTTGATATGTTAATATTTCTGAGTAGCAAATTCTGCAGAGATCATATTAATGTTGTACGTACAGAGTGGAGCTTTGCCTTCGTTGAATATTCAGATACCCGGTTTCAAAAGGCATCTCTTGAAGAAATGAGGCTTCTATTTACAGGAGTTGACTATGTTTTTAATCATTAAAAAAAGAAAGAAAGAAAGAAAAGCCCACTCTTGTGGTGAATCTTTCGAGGCCTCCTCATGATCCCTCCCACTTGTCACATACCAGGCCCTTTTATTTCTCGCTCTGAGTATTTAATAATAAGAAGAATGTTGACGAGAACCACGGCGGTGATGAAGTTAATCATGAATGAATGGATCCAGAATGGAATCACTGGTGGGGGTTCACTTGGACAGAGGGGTTCAGGTCTTGAGATAAATGTGGAGGGGAGATGAGAAAACAAGTCTTCCCACACGTAGGTGCAGAGTGATATTTTGGCCCTGGTCTCTTCTGTGAAATCCTGATAGCAAACTAAAAAAGAAAGAAAGAAAGAAAGAAAGGAAGGAAGAAAAGAAAGGAAGGAAGCAAGGAAGGAAGGAAGGAAGGAAGGAAGGAAGGAAGGAAGGAAGGAAGGAAGGGAGACAGAGATAAAGAAGACTAGGAGGAGGTGGGCGATGAAAAAAAGTGAAGAGGAAGCACACTTGTTTCTCTTTGTGATCATCCTGCCTTGCAGCCCCAGGCTAATTTCCAAAGCTTAAATACGCTGTAGCCTCTGGGCCACGCGGAGAGGGAACCGACTGGCCACTGGCAGGCAGGAGCGCTTTCCCGATCGCCCGTGGCTACGCAAAATACAAACTACTTTGAATCAAAACATTTGGGAGGAATTAATATGATTTGAACTCTGCACATTCTAAGCGAGCTGGAGTGTTTCAGATCGCTTCGAGGTTACTGGCTAGCAAAGCCAAGCATTTACCGATCTGATTCAATTTTTTAAAAACAAAAAAACAAAGACACTTTTTTTTTTTTCTTCCAAATGTAGCTTTGGCTTCAATCTCTCTGTCTACCTATACTGCATGGGGAGGAACTGGCCCTTCTTTTTCCACTGCCCTTGGAGGCAGTGGGAGAATTCCTCCACAGGAGGATGTCCCTTGTTTGGCTTCTTCCAGGTTTACCGGGGTTTTGAGTCTTGGAATCTCCTGCGCAGAGAATCTTGTACATTCAGCCACTTCAAAAAGGGTTTGCAAAATAGGAGACAGATGGGAAACTTAGCTGTCTTGGTCTTCCTTTGTTAACCCCCCATCAGTGAGCTAGTACCCTCAGTCTCTGGTAGACAAATTGGCTCAGATTTATTTGAAACTTCAACCTGCCTTCTCAGTCCCCAAATGCAGACACCTTAGACTGGAAATGCAATCTCTTTGAAGTTTGAACTGCATGCACCAAAATATCTAGAGGCATAATTTGTTGGACAGCCCCCCCCCACACACACACAAATACAAACACACAAGCATACATAGTGAGGAAGAGGCACTTTCTTTTAATTTTCTTTACTACTCTGAAAAATCACCATGATCCAAAAACCGGGATGCATTGGAGACAAGGGATTAACCCCTGGGCACACAGCACCACACATTCCACTGTAAGGCAGCAGCTCTGGTCCCAGGCTGCATCTCTCCCTCTTTTGTTCTACCAGGTCCAGGGCCTGGAGAAACTCAAGCAGCCACCAGATCGTGTTATACCTGTAATAACTCATCCCTGCCTCCAAACGGTTCACTGCTGACACATCATCAAAGGCCTATGAGATGGCAATTAAGTCCCACCTCTTTGCTGTTTGATTACAATTAATATCTGCTGCCATAGGGAGAAGGGTCCCACTGGGAGGGGGGAAAAGTTAATAAAGGGAGAAAGCCTAGAGGGGAAACATCCCAGAAAGATCCTACCCAACTTAACGCACAAGCACACCTCGCAGAAATGCAGCCCCAAAACAAACAGGGACAGGAAACTCTTGTAACCGCTTACACATTTTTAATATGTCAGAAAAAAAAAAAAAAACAGCGATCACTAGAGATGAAGAAACGGAGAAAAAAAGTCCTTGGCGTTTGTATTTCTTTCATTTGAATTGTAAACATCTGTTTGGCTGTAAGGCGAACAGAACATTTATTTTGCTGCTGCGATTTGGTCTAATTATGTCAACACCAGCACGAGGCCTGAGTTGGGAGGCACTGCGTTTGTGCGGGAGCTGCACACAAGGGCCTAGCAAGGGCGGGAAGCTGGCTAGGAAGTATTGATCACACCTGCAGGGAGTCAGAGACTTCTTGCCACAGCAGGGCTTTACAGGGACCCGGGGAGCCACAGCGCAGGTTTGGGATAGGAAGAGGAAAAATGGCCTTGGTAACTGGTTCTTGGCCTCCCCATTTGGTTGCAGACCAAGCTATGTATGGATCAGTTTTCAGCTTCACAGCATGCATCCTGTGATATGGTAGTTGCTCCACAGGAAGTCAGTGTTGGGTGCCATTACTCATGCTGCTGAGTATGTGTCTGCATCCAATTCCAATTCCTGTTACACCTCACCAGCCAGATGTAAATTCGGAACATTGTGAGCTTCCTAATTTTTCAAATAGACCAACAGAGAAAGAATTGCTCTCTGAGCTAGTAGGCTCAGCTAGTAGTTCTCATGGCCTTCAGGCACAGGGAGGAAGTCCCCAGCTAAGAGAAGTAAAACCCCAGTCTTCTCAGCTATGCAGGATCTAGTAGCATATATAAATTGGTTGTTCTAAATCCATACATTTTTTTTTTTTTCTGTGCCTGGTTTGCATGCTCACAGGATTTGGTCAACTTCCTGATGCTTTGGGAAGTTGTCCCTTCTATCCCTTCTATAAAAACCATGTCCCAGACAAGTGACCTTGAACAGATAATTTTTACTTTCTTGCATAGTTACTCAGAGTTTACAGAATCACTGGAAATAGGAAGTCTCTCCAAATTTATAAATAATGGTCTCCTTTGAAATATTGCTGATTACTGTGAATGGGAAGGCGAGAGGAAGAAGAACAAAAAGAAAGAAGAAGAAGAGGAGGAGGAGGAGGAGGAGGAGGAGGAGGGAAGGGAAATTCCAAAGAACTTCTGCATGATTTCTCTGGCTCTGGTACTAAAGTCATCCCTAACTAGTGTTGAATAGAGAATGAGATTACCCAACTTCAGAGAGGGCTAAGGGTCTACATAGGCACCACAAGGGCTTTGAGTCGGAAACACTGAGATGAAGACTATAGAAGGCATGGTGAGGTCCACTCCTGATTCCTTCTCTGAATTCTAATCTCTGCTGTCATCAGGGTTCCAAGTTCAAAGGTCTACCCTCTCACTACTTTCATAACAAAGGCAAAACTCTGGTCATGGTGAAAAATAACCCACTGGGAAGAAAGCAATCAGGTTCCCCAATTTGATGTAAATGCTACAAGTTGCCAAATCTTTTGCCAGAATGAGAGAGTTCCCCAAGGCTGTAGCAATGCTAAGTATCAAAGCAACAGAAATTCCCTGCAAACATACTCTGACATTAAAAAAAAAAAAGACTTTAGAGTTGATGGATAATCCTGAATACAAAATAAATCCTTGAGGCAATTTGTGTGCCTAAAGCATAGTCTTAATATACAGCCTGTATAACTTACCTAATATATGCCTATTTGATCATAGACCAGAAGTCCTTCCTGGGTGTAGGAGCAAAAGATTCAGGGCCTAGGGAGTTCACACATAGCTAGTTTTCCCAATCAGCAGTTCCCTCAGGAAGGCTGACTTCAATACATGGTGTTCACTTGGCCAAAAGGGAGTTGTTTTCCAATTCAGAAACAAAGCTAAATTTAACTCCTTTTCCAAAAATTATGATCATTTTTCTCTGTAAATAGGTTACTAACCCACTGAAGAGTAAACATAGGAAAAGTCTAATTCTCCACTTCCCTTTTTCTAGCAGTCGCAAAAACCAAAATCAAAAGCATACAGTTGCTCGAACACTTAGGACCAATCCTATTAGATTTCTTTTCCTTCAATAATATATTAGCTACTGTGTAAGAGAGATATGTTAATGCTCAGATACAAATTTGCTTATGATTCATAGAGACTATGGACAAAGACCCCCTGATCATGGGAGGAGTAGATGAATTTTCAATATAGCTATCTATTTTTATTCATGTTTGATATTTTTCTTCACTCTGATCTAAATCCTCAAATAATCAAGGTCGTGATTTTTGCAGCAGGACCCCAAAATCCAGATTCATTGACCCTACTTTACTTTCCAGTTCACTTCAGCTTTGAGAAGCCATTTTATCTATTTTTTTTCAGATTTTTGTTTATATTGTTTTTCATTATGTGTGTGTGTTTGTGTCTGTGTGAATGAGTGGTACATGTGTGAGGTGCTCTCGGAGGTCAGAAAGGTAGTCAGATCCCCTGGAGTTGGAGTTACAGGCAATTGTGAACTTCCTGATTTGGGTGCTGGGAACTGAACTTAGGTTCTCTGGAAGAACAGTAAGGACTCTTAACTGCTGAACCATCTCCCCAGCCCCATGTTAAATTTTTTAAGTGCACTTTGCACTTATACATAAAAAGTGAAAGTATAAGTACAAAGTGAAAGTAGCAGTGAAAGTGATCAGATAGCCACAGTCCCCAAAATCTGGGAAATTTTTACAAAATTGTTAATATTTTTATTGGTTCTAAAACTCTGTAGGAATGTAAAGTGGGTAAGAACCAGTAAATTTGTGTGTTTCCAGCTCCAAAAGAAGGGCGCTTACAATTTTACACATTTTACTTCAAGATAAGCATTTTAGTTTGACGGTTGAAATTCTGACTTCTCTGACTTCAGAACATAGGGCTGGTTTTCAGGGACTGGTATGAGGAATTTGTGTATAAGGTGAGTCTGCCCTGATGTGCTGACTATCTGCTTGCCTTTTTGTAATGGAGAGGCATTCAGGGTTATAAACAGACTCAGGATGCTTAAGGGAGAAAGACCTTGATCTTTAGCAATTTCGAGAGAAACTTGGGTGTGGAATTATTTACTGGAGCCTGGGCAACTTACCAGTAGCTACACTACTGAAGAAAATGAATTCCCCGTCCTCAGAAATCATTAACTGCCAATAATCCCTTAAGGAGGGGTGAGGTCTTATGAGCTTTTCCCTGTCCCCCACTCATGTTCATACAAGCAACCCTAATTAAATCCTGTGGATAATACACACAAAAATGATGTGAAAGCAAGAGGAAGACCTGTTGGGAAAATAAATTTCAGAGGGAGAAGGAAGGGTGAGAGACGGCAGTATGGGGGTGAACACAACTTAAATTCATTATGAACATGTAAGATACTATCAAAGAATTAAAGAATATTTTAAAAATGAAAGATGTAAATGATTGTAAAAACAGCTAGGCTGAATCTCATACAACATTGGACTAAAACAGCTAGGAGGGGTTTCAAACATTAAGGTGATGGAACTATTTTTAATGCGGTTAGAGATCCCTTTATGTTTTCAACTGTTCTCCCAGGTTCTTTACATGCTGATGAAACACCCCTTAGTCTGACTGAAGAGTCTCCTTTCCATATCAGCTCCCTTGTGCCTCTTGGTAAAAGATGGTAGAGATACTTGGGAGGCAAGGCTAAGTTCTGGTTTAGTGTTTTTATAAACTTTAATGAGCATGTGTGCCATGTGTGTGGGGGGGTGCTTCTCCTAAAGTACAGATTCTGAATCAAAGGGCCTGAGGTGGGATCTAAGATTCCACAACTCTTGCAAGCTTCTTCCTAGATGACCATTGCAAATCACACAATTATTAAAAGGGTTTTCCACAATGCTCTTCTGGCCATTTTTCTTCCTCTACCTATTTCTTATTTCTCTTTTCCCTCAGAGACCTTGGCCCTTTTCTGGAAAAGTTTTTTAAGCTTACTTATAACTAGAGCAAGAAAAATTCATGCTCAGAAAAATAGCTTTGAATTTGAACTTGCTAATGAACTTTGAGAAAACTGTGTCCTTGGATGTCTTAGTGTGTGAGGAGGCAGGCTTGCATTCCAAGATCATATTCCTCTCGTCCTAGTAAGGTGAACTTTGGCTGGGGATTTTTGCAGTGAGTGAAGAATTAGGCAGCAAGAAACTTTCCCCAGTGATGCTCACCCTTGAGCCCTCAAACCTATTTTAGTCAGTGGAAGGTGAGTGAGGTTAGGGAATGTGGTGTGCTCCTTCTGCAGGAATGTTAAGCTGAAGGAGCTCTGTAGAGCTTGAAGACAGAGATCTTCTGTTCCAAAAACTCCATCGTGGAGAAACTCCTTTGGTGATGTTGCTATTAATAGTTACCATTTCCTGGCACTCTAATAGTAATGCAGACAGCATCAATCATAGCAGTGATGTTACTGGCAAGTCACATTTAACACAGGTAACTAGCACTACGTTCTAGGTCTTACAGTGTTTGCTCACTTGTGCTTTGCAGACTGAAATATGGTGGTACAAGGTGTCATCAGCTGGTGGGAAGGAAATGATCATTTTCAAATATTTTATGAAAAGCAATCCTGAATAAAAATTGGTGGTACAAGGTGTCATCAGCTGGTGGGAAGGAAATGAATATAGAAAATTATTTTATGAAAAGCAATCCTGAATAAAAATTTGTAAGCATTCTGTGTGTGTGTGTGTGTGTGTGTGTGTGTGTGTGCTTATACACATGCAACTGTGACCCAATAACACCTTTTTGTGAGGTTAACTCTCTAACTCTTGGATTTGAGGGCTCTCATGGTTGTCTTTCTTGATGTGATGTTAAAATTAACACTGTAGAGGCAGCCTACGCGCGATACTGTAGTAATTTTGTCTAATATCACCAAGGTGTACACAAATTAATTTTCTATGTGATATTGAAAAGAAAAATCCTGATAAGCATTTGGAAGGACGTCTTCATAGCCACTCCCTGTGTTGATATAACTGGTGGATGGATGAGCACAACTGTTGCCATGCATCTCTTGATGCCCTTTGCCTCTCACAAAGTTCTCTTAGTTCTCTGTCACTGACACGTATGCTTTTTCCTCCCAAGGTGGCACCTGTGTGGTCAACCCCACAGACTTGTTTTGCTCTGTTCCTGGTCGTTTGTCCCTTCTCAGTTCTACTTCCAAATACAAGGTGACCATTGCTGAGGTAAAGAGGCGTCTCTCACCACCTGAGTGCCTCAATGCTTCACTCCTGGGAGGCATTTTGAGGAGGTAAGTTGAAGGTATTTGCTATCACTATTTGGCTAGTAACTGACCTGATGCCATACTCAAACCTCTGTCATATCGTCTGTCTGATGTGATCTTCTCATGGGGTCATGTCTTTTCCTAATTTTCTTCAGAGTGTGAACTACCAAAACCTAGTTTTTATTTGTTTTTGGACAGAGCAAAATCCAAGAATGGGGGCCGTTGTCTGAGAGAAAAACTGGATCGACTTGGCTTAAACCTGCCGGCTGGAAGACGGAAAGCAGCCAACGTCACTCTCCTCACCTCCTTGGTGGAAGGTATAACTTTTATGTTCTTCCAAGAAATAATAAAACATTGAAAATTCTTTGACACTCAGGCTTGGTAAATTATACTATTTACTATTGTTTACTTTGTTGAGAATGACACTTAATGACTACAGGAATATTCCCCTAATTAATTTTATCAATGATTAAATTTGCCTTAATAGAAGATTTAGCTAACTCTGGTCTTGGCAGTCACAGGAAAAAAGATAACAGAAGATGTAAGCATTTCTCCAGTATTCCTTAAACAGCAACAGCAAAATCCTGGCCATGGTCTTGCCATTTTCATTATTATTTTAGAGTTTAGACAAATCTGACTTAACCCATTGTAATTTGGTACAACATGATCCACAAGATAAATAATTCCCTATGAAAGGTTCATAGGAGGCTAGGCATAGTACAGATGCTGAAAGTGCATTGTGCTAATCCTTGTAGACATTCTTAAATCGTGGTGGAGTTCATGGATGTGTGAGGAGATAAGCTGAGTCAGAGAACATTTACGATTAACAAGCAGTTCATTAGAGGAAGTGGAAATGTACTTCCATGAATAATTTTTCCCTTATATTTTCTCCTTTGTTTCTTCTGTATTGATTAAACTTTACACATTTTATACAATCTTTTTCTAAGGAGAGACATCACTGAATAAATATTTTTAACTTTCTGGGTGTTTATGAATGCCAAAGGGCAGCTCTTCTGTCATCTAGAATACTACTGTTTTAAATATGAATGGTGGGCTTTTTTCTCTCTGTCAAGTCTCACCAGAACACATTTTTATTTCATGAGACTTTTATTGCATCGGTTAACTTGTTTATGTAATGCTGTAGGGAGTGGTGAGTGAAACACAAAGGTAATTATCTTGGCTTTTCTCATATTATAAATCTGCATCATTTATTGTGTGACACTAAGAAGTATGTGATCCTAGTTAGCTTTTGTGACATAGCACAGCATTCCTAGCACAAGAGAGACAGAGGCAGGAGGAGAATGAGTTTGAGGCCAGCCTGGGCTACATAGTGAACTCCAGTCTACCCTCAAGATCTTGTTTCTTTCTTTATTTTTTTAAAAAAAAGAAAATTGCAAGGAAAGTGTATTCCATATAGTCTTAACATTTGTCTTGGTAAAAAATAACTTTGTTAGTTTCATTATTAACAGCTATTTTTGTTTTTCTTTGACTAATTAGTCTTTGTTTGGTTTGGGATTTTGAGAGAAGGTCTTGCTGTGTAGCCAAGATTAGCCTGAAACTCACATCAATCCCCCTGTCTCAGCCTCCTGAGTAATAGGATTATAGGTGTGCATCTGAATGTACAACTTATTAATACCTATATTTGCTTTCTTCCCTAACAGTAGTAATAGTAACAAGCGCAGCAAGGACAATATTGGCATCAAACACTTAACAAATGTTGCTCTTACATGTTGGGCACCACTGACCAAAAAACCTGAAATGTTCCAAAATTCAAAACTATTTGAACTCTATCATGGTTCTTAAAAGTTTGAGGATTTGGAATATTTTTGTGTTTGGATTTTCGTGTTAGGGTTGTTCAACTGGTAAGGGTTCTGTAAATAGTCTAAAATCTGGAAAAGCAATTCCAAAATATTGTTGTCCCAAGTACAGATAAAGGACAGTTAGCTTGTACTCTTTCCTGGATCTTGTTCTGTGTTTGCTGATGATGAGAGCTGACCTGTGGTAGAGGGGTTTGCCTGAGTTCCATCCATAAACCAGCTGGAAAGCCCATCTGGGTTGTGGCACAGGCATCTGTAGCATTTCCAACCTCCAAAGGAGATTCTGGTGTATAACGACATTAATTATCTTTGGTGCTCTGTAAATTCTCCTTCATTAGCCAGGATAGATTAACTATGAATTCTTTAAAAAATTTTGAACTATTTACTTTTATTTTATGTATGTGTGTGTGTGTGTGTGTGTGTGTGTGTGTTGCCTGTACGCAAGTGCAACATGTGCATGCAATACCTGTTGAGGCCAGAAGAGGGCATTGGACTCCCTGGAACTGGAATCACAGAAATTGTCAGCTGCCACGTGGGTGCTGGAAAGTAGACCTGGGTTCTCTTTAAGGGCAACCAGTGAGTTTAACTTCTGAGACATCTCTCCAGCCCCAACTGTGAATAGTTCTTATAGTTCGTAAGTCTGTGAAAAATTAGAGAGCTTGGCTTTAAAAACGTCTCTCCAGTGTGGGTGAAAGTACTCACCAGGACAAGTCGAAGTACCATAAAGAATATTTTCATAATTATTTATTTTTGTCAAGAGTACTCGAGTATCCTGTGTGAGAATCACCTGTCTATGTGAAAAGTAAGCATGCTGATCAAATACATGACCTCCCTGATGGTCTGATCAGCTACGGTTTTAATAGGACTTCTCTTGTAACAAAAGTACCTTACTTGTCTGTATCCTGCCCACACATTACCATCACCATGGCCTCGGTTAGTGAATTATGATTTATTCTTCTCAGATATGTCTTACCTTGAGTATTTTGAGCTCCCTAAAATCTTCATGAGGTACAGAAATAAATCTTTTACTATTGAATTCCAGATACTTTTGTGGATATTCTGAAAAGAAATTCAGGGGCAGAGGAATATTTGGCTTCCCCCTACTCCCCAAATATGACCCTCAACTCTACTCTCATAGGCACAGAAGGTCTTTTTGTTTGTTTTTTTTCTAATTTTATTTATTTTTATTTTATGTGTATGCATGTATTGCCTGCCTGTAGGTAAATGCATCCGTGTCATGCAATGCCCATGGAGGTCAGAAGAGGCTGTCGGATCCCCTGGGACAGGAGTTACAGACAGTTGTAGCTGCCATGTGGGTACTAGGATTTGAACCTGGGTCTTCTGTAAGAAAAACAGTATTCTTAACCTCTGAGCCATTTCTCCAGCCCTAGGCACAGAAGTTTTAAAGTGCTCTTAATATGTGTGATGTTCACTGATACTCTCTTCCATACTTTCTGTGCTCTTTATAAATGTTATTTGTGAATTTACTAAATTTATTTCACAACCCCTTTTTAGTCCAGACTCATCCTCCACTGTTTAGAAATATTGCAAGTCGTTTTTAGAAATTTAGGACATGAAGAAAACGTTCTGCTTGATGAAAAAAGACATCCCGTGTAAATTGAAATGGGCTTCATTGTGACTCTGGGCTGACATGTAGAGCAATCTTAGGTCAAAATCTCTGGCATACATCTATTCTTTAAAAAATATTTATTTTTATTTGTATGAGTGATCACCTGAAGGCATGTATGTGTACCATATGCATGCGTGATACCTACAGAACACAGAAAAGGGCTTCAGTTTCCTTGAAAATGGAGTAACAGGCAGTTGTGAGCCTTCAGGTGGGTGCTGGGAGCTGAACTTGCCCTCTGCAAGAGCAAGTGTTCTTAACTGCTGAACCATCTCTCCACTCCTTGGTATTCACCTTTATCCCTAAATTTCAGTTGGCATGGTGCTGACAACTGATGACCCAGTTCAGCCGCCAGTGCCAAGCAGTGTGTGCAGAGCAGTAAGAACCCAACTCTGAGTTATCAGCCTCCAGAGATGCTGAAATAGTTAATGCTTCTTTTTAGCCTTTGGGGAAAATCCATCCTTCTTGAGCCAACATGGAGCCAAAGTTTGTGCTATTTCTATAGTTATGCTTTAAAATTTCACCATGTTTACTATTTGATAAATGGGCCCTTGACTTGAACATGGCTTATGGGTAATATTATGGGAAAGTACACTTTCGTTTTTCATCATTGTTTATTGCCATTTTCCTTTTATTTCCTGGATTGTCTACATTATTCGTATACACATCTTAATGACTAGAAGCTAAGCACGTAGATTCTTTTAAATAGCACTTAAGACTCCTGTTCAAACCTCCTACAGACTTGCCATCCAAGAAGAGTCTAGTAAATTCTCAAACACCCAGATGTTCCAAAACATTAGTGAAGTTCAACCCCTCCCCTGTATTTTGACATAATATTTGACCATGAGAAAAGAAAATATCAAATTTTCTTACAGGCCAGCCTTGAAAACAAGGCTTATGAAAGCTAACGAAAGTTAAACTTCTTATGAGATTGTGAGGCTATCAACACAGAAATGTGTCATGTCTGTAAAGATCTAATCACCAAAGAGTAAGGTGCTTTATGAGAGGGATTTACCAATGAATACTTGTTTTTTGAAATTAAATACATTACTGGCATAACAAGTTTTAGCAAGGTGTTCTTGTGATTCTATGCTTATTTTGGATTTCCAATTATTATGTTTATTTATTTATTTATTTTCTTGAGATAGGATCTCATGTAGCTCAGGATGATTTAAACTTGCTATGTAGTGAAAAATGACCTTGAATTTCTCTTTTAAAAATACTTTATTTATGGGGCTGGAGTGATGGCTCAGCAGTTAAGAACACTGAATGCTCTTGTAGAGAACCCGGGTTCAATTCCCAGCACCCACATGTCAGCTATGAACCATCTTTAGGTCCAGTTCCAGGGGGATCCAAAACCCTCTTCTGATCTCTACGGCATTGCATGACACAGGTGCACTCACATACATGCAGGCAATACACTCATACACATAAAATAAAAATAATAAAATATTTTTAAAAATTAAAAAGTATTTATTATTTTAATATTATGTGTCTGGGAATTTTGTCTGTATGTATGTAGGTACACCCTTGTCATGTAATACCTGTGGAACTCAACACGAAGTTGTCAGGAAAAAGTGATGGGGAGATATGGGAGGAGTTGGAGGGGAGAGAGTGGTAATGGATTTGATCAGAATGCCTTATATGCATGTATGAAATTCTCAATAATTTTTTAAAAGTGAAAAAAATACTATCCTCAATAAAATGTATGATTTTGCTAGTTATTTATGTAATTTGAAAGTAAAAAAAAAACAAAACAAAAACAAAAAAAAAGAGGGCATCAGATTCTCCTGGGACTGAAATCATGGACAGTTGTTAACCATCATGTGGGTGTTGGGAATTGAACCTAGGTCCACTGAAAAAGCAGCCAGTG